CCCTTGACCGGAATCGAACCCGGGACCCTTCAGTCCACAGGCCGACGCTCTATCCACTGAGCCAAACTGGTTAGGGCAGGAGCCTGTCGAGCACCCCCACCTGTCCATGTGCTATTGCTTGTGGTTTTATTTTTAGAAATTCTGTCACCTGCCAAGTGTGTTGCCCTTTTCCTAAATATCAGCCTGCTTCACCATTTCCCAAAACGTTTGTATTCCAAATACCTAAGTGGTTTTTGCATTCATTGTCATGTAAATTAACGGATCAGCATAGAAGTTTTAGTAAATGATGCAAAACCATCGCTAAATTTTGTATGATGAGGATGTCTCCTTAGATCACTTGTGTCCACATGCCTTGTAAAATAACTGGTTTTGGGACCCGGACCCACAGTAGGTCACAGCTAAAGGTCAACCATTATGCATTTTTCCCGATTGGAGAGGCGGGTGGCGATTAGGGAGCCTTTCCTGTGGGACCGACCACAGTTCAGGAGCACGTCCTGCAGCCGGACAGCGGCATGTGGAGCACCACTTCGCTGTCCGTCTCCTGAGCTGCGCAGTCCCCTCTTACAGTTTCTCTGGAGGCAGAGCCCAGGCGTTGAGGCTCGTTCTGGCAGTCATGAATGTTCTAAGGGTTAGGGCCAGGGTTAGGGTTAGGGGTTAGGGGTTAGGGTTAGGGTTAGGGTTAGGGTTAGGTTTAGGGTTAGGGTTAGCGTTAAGGTTAGGGCTAGTGTTCGGGCTAGGGCTAGGGTTTGGGTTCGGGTTCGGGTTAGGTTTAGGGTTATGGTGTATGGACATTAGGAATTCACAATGAATGAGCTTGAAACACTGGAAAAAAGTGAATAAAACTGAAAATTCACAATGATAATCTAGGGCAGTGATGGCAAACCTATGACACGCGTGTCAGCACTGACACGCGTAACCATTTCTGATGACACGCGGCCGCATGCCGAGGATGAAACATTTGCTGCTCCTGAGGATGAAACATTTGCGACTAGAGTCTTGGAGTTAGTTTTTTCCTCAAAGTGACACACTACCCGAGTTATGCTCAGTTTTTTTTTTTTTGGTGAAGTTTGACACACCAAGCTCAAAAGGTTGCCCATCACTGATCTAGGGTAATATGTAAGAAGATGCTTGAAACCCTAGGAATACATTAATAAAGAGCCTTAATATCTGAAGGACATTGTTTTATGACAGGGAAATAGTGTTCAAAAATCAGAGGACCAAGTTGGATACTGGTTACATTTATATTTTTTCAGTGCCAATGAGTTGACGTTTTTGAAAGACTTTTGGTTAAGCATTTAAACTGGAAGTGCTGACATCATCAATGGCGAGCAGCCACGTGGACAGGCTCAAGTGCTCAGGTGGTTAATGGTTTGGGCCAGGGGACCTGCAGGGAGTGCTGACATCATCAAGGTTAGGACTAGGGTTACAGTTAGGGTTAGTGTTAGGGTTTGGCTAGGGCTAGGGTTAGAGCTAAGGTTAGGGAAAGGGTTAGGGTTAGGACTATGGTTAGGGTTAGGGTTATAGCTAGGGTTTGGGATAAGGTTAGGGTTAGGGTTAGGTTTAAGGTTAGGGCTTGGTTTCAGGCTAATGTTAGGGTTACAGTTAGGGTTAGGGTTAAGGTTAGGGTTATGGTGTATATACATTTGGAATTCGCAATGAATGAGCTTAAATTACTGGACAAAAGTGAATGTAAAACTGAGAATTCACAAAGATAGACTAGGGAAATATTTAGGAATATGCTTCATACACTAGAAATACATGTTCAAATACATTTAATATCTGAAGGACACTATTTTGTCACTGGTAAATCATGTTCAAAGAGCTGAGAAGTGAGTGCAATACTGTTTACATTTAATATTCCCATCAAAATGAGTTGGCATTTTTGGAAGAAAGTTGGTGAAACACTTAAAAATTCATTTTCATAGAGCTATATAACAGTATGAAAGTATTCAAAACTCTAAGAAATCAAAATGATAGTTAGGCTAGTGTTCAAAGTAGTAATAATGTACCTTTAAAGAGCTGGTATGATACCTGTATTAAAATGTTAAAACTCTCAGAGCTCCAAATAACAGACCAGGGGAATGTGTAAGGGTGTTTCTAAAACACTTGGAATACATTGTAGAACCTTAACATCTCTACTGCATGTTGTAATACTGAGAATTTGAATTAAAAGTGCTGTGAAAGGTAGGATAGTCTTTATAATGGTAATAATTCATATTTAAAGAGCTGGTATATATGTAAAAACCCTGTTTAAACACTTGGAATTCACAATGAATGAGCTTGAGACACTGGAAAAAAGTGAATAAAACTCTGAAAATTCACAATGATAATCTAGGGTAATATCTAAGTATGTGCTTGAAACACTAGGAATACATTTACAAAGAGCCTTAATATCTGTAGGACATTGTTATATGACAGAGAAATATGGTTCAAAGATGAGAGGACCAAGTTGGATACTGGTTACATTTATATTTTTTCAGTGCCAATGAGTTGGTGTTTTTTAAAGAAGTTTGGTTAAGCATTTAAACTGGAAGTCCTGACGTCATCAAGGGTGAGCGGCCACGTGGACAGGCTGAAGTGCTCAGGTGGTTAATGGTTTGGGGCCAGCGACCTGCAGGGAGTCTGACATCATCAATGTTAGGACTAGGGTTATGGTTAAAGTTAGGGTTAGGGTTAGGTTTAGGGCTAGGGTTATAGCTAAGATTAGGGTTAGGGTTAGGACTATGGTTAGGGTTAGGGTTAAGGTTAGGGTTAGGGTTAGGGCTAGGGCTAGGGTTAGGGTTAGGGTTAATGTTAGGTTTAGGGCTAGGATTATGGTTAAGGTTAGGGTTATGGTGTATAAACATTTGGAATTCGCAATGAATGAGCTTGAAACACTGGAAAAAAGTAAATCAAACTCTGAAAATTCACAATGATAGACTAGGGTAATATCTAAGAACATTTTTGAAACACTAGGAATACATTAACAAAGAGCCTTAATATCTGTAGGACATTGTTTAATGACAGGAAAATTGTGTTCAAAGATCAGAGAACCGAGTTGGATACTGGTTACATTTATATTTCAGTGCCAATGAGTTGGCGTTTTTGAAAGACTTTTGGTTAAGCATTTAAACCGGAAGTGCTGACGTCATCAAGGGCGAGGGGCCACGTAGACAGGCTGAAGTGCTCAGGTGGTTAATGGTTTTGTGGCCAGGGGACCTGCTGGGAGTGATGACATCATCAAGGTTATGACTAGGGTTAGGGTTGGGGTTAGGGTTAGTGTTAGTGTTGGGGTTAGGGCTAGGGTTAGAGCTAATGTTAGGGTTAGGATTAGGACTAGGGTTAGGGTTAGGGTTAGGGCTAGGGTTAGGGTTAGTATTAGGGTTCAGGCTAAGGTTAGGGGTTGTAAACACCCTGGGGCCTGCCCAATGGTTTCTGCTGCCTTTGGGTTCTGCCTGGCTTATGTCCCCGGAGGTGGGATGGCAGGGCTGGGCGGGGGCTGCTCTGATGAGTGCGCCTCCAGGTTGACCTAGAGAGAACAGGCCAAATCTCTCCCTGCTGGAGGCAGCCTGAGGGTTTGTGTGGGCAGCTCTTTCAGTGTTTGTTTTGGGTTATGAGTAGAGGTATACTCATGGGTAACCCAGTTTTTTTTTACTTGTGTTTCTCCAATGATGCAGAACTACCTGTGGTGTGTGGTTAGCTGCCTCGTGTGTGAGACTCTTATGCCTGTTCTTTGGGGAGGTGCCTGTGGGTGCAGTTGTGAAATTATCTGTGATGCGAGGTCCGTGGTTCTCTCCCACAGTTCTCTCACGTTTTTGTGTGTTGTTGTGTGTGTGTTTTTTATTTCAGAGAGGAAGGGAGAGGGATAGAAAGAAACATCAATGATGAGGGAGAATCATTGATTGGCTGCCTCCTGCACACCCCCCACTAGGGATAGAGCCTGCAACCCAGGCATGTGCCCTTGACTGGAATTGAACCCGGGACCCTTCAGTCCGCAGGCTGATGCTCTATCCACTGAGCCAAACCAGTTAGGGCTCTCATGTGTTTTTTTACGCGGCCACTTTGGAGGCTGAGCGAACCCCTAACTCAGTTCTTTGGTCCTAGTTGCTGTCTCCAGGTTTCCTATTCCAACACCACCCCTTGCCCAGCAGGCTCAGACCCAGTCCCGGTGGCCCTCTGAGGGGTGCAGGTGCAGGTGCAGGTGCAGCAACAGGGAAGCAATGGGGAGCGATGACAGCTGTCCCGTAGGAGCTCAGACTCCATTTAGAGGGCCCTGCATTCAAGGCCTGGGGCAGGGGTGACCTCCTTAAGACCCATGTGTCCCCAGGGGACTCCAGTGCGGAGAAGGAAGCGCTTCCCCAGGGTTTGGGGCAGCAGGGGGTGGGCGCAGGCGATGGGCCTGGCCTCTGGGGATGTTGCCCAGAGGAGGCACAGGTTCGGGATGGGGTTTGGTGGCCACTAAGCTGCTGGATGACCTCTCCCTGAGGACTGGTCAAGTCCAGGCCACGTGCTTTGGGCTTCAAAAGGGAGCTTGGCAACCTAGAGGGAAAGGTTTGTGGGGGAGGTTCCCACCACCACCACCGCCGCCACCCTCCCCCACCCCCAGCCCTTGCCTCTGACCCTGAGGACACTTGAGGAGGCGGCTTGACCTCTGCCCATTGCACCATCCCAAATGTGCATTCATTTATCTTTTGGGAAGCCCAGACCAGGGGGACTGATGCGGCTGAGGACCTATGACCAGGCCGCTCTTCAGCCCTGGCTGATGACTGAGGGAAGGTGGGGAGGGGGCAGGGCAGGGAGACCCCCCAGGTGTGAGGGACCACCCCTGTCTGCAGCAAATGCTGCTGTAACAGTGCCATGCCCAGAACCCCTAACCCCAAAACCCACCCTGCCTGTTTCAATTGGGGTAGCTCCCAAGCCTGGCTCAGCGGCCAGTGAATACCATTCCTTTACCACTCAGTTAAAACGTCATTTTAGGGAAAATGTGATAAAAGGGTGGGGGCAGGGGGAGAACTAACCTTTGCATTGGCCTGGGATCGAATCCAGGCCTCTCGTGTGACAGACAAGAATTCTACCACTGAGCCATCAATGCTGCAGAGTACATTTTGTGCGGTTCAGGTGGTGGGCCACACTGGGAAGGGAGCCCCGGCCAGCCTGAGGGGCCTGGAATTTTCCCTAAAAGAATGTGCTCTGGCCCTAACCGATTTGACTCAGTGGATAGAGCGTCGGCCTGCAGACTGAAAGGTCCCAGGTTCGATTCCGGTCAGGGCATGTACCTTGGTTGTGGGCACATCCCCAGTGGGGCTGTGCAGGAGGCAGCTGATCATTGTTTCTCTCATCGATGTTTCTCTCTATCCCTCTCCCTTCCTCTCTGTAAAAAAAAAAAAAAGTTGCTAAAAGAAAAAAGAAAAAAAGAGAATGCTCTGCTGAGACTTGTCGCCTTGAGTTCTGTCCCAGCCGGGTCATTCCTGGACATGGGGTAGGGCTGCCTGTGTCCTGCACCGCATCCAGGACCCAGACCCCGACCCACAGCCCTCCACTCGCTCAGCTGGGTGCTTTCCTTTCTCCAAGGACCTGCCTCCCACCATTGAATCAGCATCCTACTGTTCCCGGGGCGCCCACCCAGGCTGGGGAAGCCAGAAGCAGAGGTAGGGTGGCAGAAATCTCACCCGCAGGCCTGGGGACCCTGTGGATGAGCAAGAAGCCCATCTCACCTCCAATGTCCTCCAAGGACGTGGCCCCCAGAGATGTTGCCCCTCGTGGCTGGGCTGGGCCTGCGCTGGGTCATGGAGCATAGTACCAGGAAGTTGTTTCAGAAACTGCTGCCCCCAGTATCTCACTATGTTTCCCCCTCAATTCATGGCCCACCCCCGCCTCAGGTGCAGGCAGCACTGAAGCTCCTGTGTCCCCCTGGGCCTTTTTGCCCAGGCCAGGGCCCCGTTGTCCCTCTCCACCCATCTACCCACCCCTCCTGGGTACCAGTTCCCTGGAGGTCACGGTACATTGAGAGGAGGCTGTGGTCAAGCGGTGAGAACCTGGGACCTTCCAGGCTCATCCTCTCTCCCAGGATCTGGAGCAAAGGACAAGGTGGCCTGGCCACACCCCCATCCTGCCTGGCTCGCCCTGCCCACGCTGGGCCCGGCATCCGGGTGATCCCCACGCAAGGATTAAAGGCTTGCACACCCCCTCCATGGCTGTGGGCCCTGACTGGACTTTTTCTGTTCATCCCTCGCCAGACTAGATCCAGACTGTCAGCAGTGCCAGGGCAGGCCGGGGCGCGTTGGGAGGGCCTGGCTCGGGTGGCCAGAAGCCTGCGGGCGATTGTCCCCCTCCTGCCAGCTGGAAGGCCCCCCTTCCAGAGGCCAGCCATGGAAAGCTGGTTTGCTACAATCTCTCAAAGTGACCGTGGTGGATGGTGGATGCAGTGGAGGCCTCTTTCCCTAGGGGCTCCTCCAGTGGAGAATCCTGGGATTCTAAGAAAAAGCTTCATACCTACTTCCCCAAGACAAACTGGGGTCTGGACAAGGACTCCGGCCCAGGACAGTGACCCCTGCCCCATTCGTCTCTGCCGCATCAGCAACTATGACCTGGACGACGAGCTGTACAGGGAAGATGTTCCCTACGGTGAGTGGGTCCTGCCTCCTTGGTCCTCTGGGCAAATGGGGGGGGGGGGGGGCTGGTTGGCCTGACTCCCTCTGCCCTGTCCCATAGGGTGTATAACAACCAGAGGATCCCTCCACTCAGCAATCACGTGCCTGTCAAGATCTGAGGACCCACATGGGCATGGGGGTCAAGAGCAGCTTCAGTCCCCACAAGGCCCCCAGGAAGAGCCACCTTCCCCAGGGCAGATAAAGAGTGAGTGAAGGGGTGCAGCCCTCATCTGCAGGGCTAGGAAGGAGCTGGGCAGCCCTCAGCAGTGGGGCAGGCCTGGAGCCCTGGCAGCCCTGCCCTCTGCCTCCTGGGCCCGGGGGCACCGACTCTGGGCCCTCTACCAACAGTCCAGGCTGAGGTGCTGCACTGCATCGGGCAGAGCTGAGCCAGATCCAAGCCCAGGTGGACCGCCTGCGGGAGAGCCTGGAGCACCTGGACCAGCAGAGGGACCAGCTTCCAGGCCGGGCACCCCACACCCTTAGCGATGCCCAGCTTTCCCCACTCCTGAAGGTGCGGGGGCCCCTGGAGTCTGGCCTTGGGCTCTCCCTATCTGCAGGGCTCCCCCCACCCCACTCCCTCTGGCTGTTGCTGGACTTGAGGATCCTTGTGGCTTTAGGTTGTCCCATGACCCCCCCTCATTCAGTAGACATCTGGGGCCACAGGAGTGTCCCAGCCCAAACTCATGTTGTCCTCTCAAGAGGATACTCCGGATCAGTGCTGGACGTTGAGGGGCCTCTCTGGGCTCCAAACCTAGCCACAACCGGAGACTCTCCCTGCACAGGGACAGGGGACAGCGAAGAGAACAGGGCCCTGGAATTAAGGGCTCTTCATGCAGAACCACTGAACCCCAGCAGGAGCCCAGGAGCCAGAGGGCCCATCCAGGGGCAGGCAGCTCTGAGGAGAGCACAGACCCGGAGGCGGCAGTGACGGGGTGCTGCCCCCCTCCTTGTGTCTGGGTCCTGAGGTCTGTGAGCAAGGGGGGTAACTAGGGTTTGCGTGGGAGCCCAGTGGCGGTTGGGGGAGGCCTATCATTCACACAGGCGATGCCCAGATGGCCTGTGCCCTGCTTATATCCCCTCAACTCAGGCTTGGTCGGCTCAGCTGGGCCAGCTCTGGGCGGAGATACCACCTCCTGGGGGCTGGTGCTTTGAGTAATGTCACTGGTATCCCTCATAGTCCCAGACCCCTCGCCTAATAACCACCTGGCAAGCTTGTTAAAAACCGATTCCTGTCCTCTTCCCGCCCCTGCCCCACTTGCTGCCTGTCTTTAGGCTGTCCACACGGTACTATGCTCCCAGAAAAGCTGGGGAAACACACCTTCCGGGATGGAGAAGATCCAAACCTGGGTTTGATGACAGCCCTCGGTGCAGCCTTAGAGCCCGAATGTTCCCTGCCCTATGGTACCCTCCTCCCCGACTGGTGGTCCCCAGGCGGGCCAACCCCGTGTTTGGGCCTCTTAGCAGGGCTGGGGCTGCTGGGGAGCAGGCGGCGCCGAGCTTCCCTTCCTCCACTGCCCACTCTACCCCTTGGCCTGCTGGGCTCCAGAGGGCCCTTTCCTGCCCAGGTCTCAGTCGCCTCTGGGACGACTGGGCTAGGTGGAGAGAACGCTCTTTTGTCTGGTGGTTTGGGGTTCCCAGGTCTCAGGAAGAATCTGAGCTGCCAAAGCTGCCAAGAAAGGGAGGTGGGGGTGGGGCAAGACTGGGATATGTCAGTGGATGGCCCTCTTTCCCAGCCATACCGTGCTTCTCAGCCCTCTGGGCCAGCGTCCTGCTTCTGTTTTCCCTACAAGTGAAGAATCACGCATCGGACCAGGGCAGCCAGCAGGTTAAAACCCTCCAGGGCTCACCTGCTCCAGCACCTTCCCAGGTGGCTCCCGTCCTTGCCTTGTTTTTAAGGCCTCCCAGTGGCACCTGTGTCACTGCAGGCACCCACTGTGGAGAGGGGCAATGAAGTGGAGGCACAGCTGTGCCAGACCAGCTGGGAAGCCTCCCCGTTACGGCGGCTTTAGCTTTGGAGGCCATGCTTCCAGGCGAGTCTGGGAACTGGCAGGGATGGGACGGAGAACAACTGCTCAGCACCAGCTCACCACCCTCATGAAGCCGAGGCCATCTTGCAAGAGTTAGCTGGACAGGGCCCCACCCTCCCCACCCCCTATCAGCCCTCTCGGACTGTAGGTACCGTTTCGGATGCTCCTCCCCTCGTCCTGTGTGGAGCACCCACCACAGTGGCCCCCCACAGCCTGCTCCAGCCACAGCGGTGTACAGGCAACGTTCTACCGTTCCCCTTCGTCTGAAACGGAGCTTTACGGTGCTCAGGATGGGCCCCATGGGGGGGCAGTACAAAACCATCCTTCAGAATAGGGGTGTCATTTCATGTCCTCTTTCTATCGTGTCTCTTGCTGGTGTTATACTTTGTATATCAGATCTGCTCTGGAAATGTGTCAGAAGGGAAAAAATTAAATTTATATTTTCCCCTGGTCATCAAGGTTGTCTCTGAGCTTCATTCTGGTCCTTGGGCTGCTCCAGGCCAGCCCTTCCTACAGGAGCTGAGCAGACCCAAGACACTCAGGTTCAGAAGCTCATACCAAACCAAGGCACAGAGAGGAGACTACGCTGCCCTGCCTTCCTCCATGAGCACAACGCCCTGGGGCTCAGGAGCCACCCAGGGTAGATCCTATCCTTGTGGCCAGTCAGCCAGGCCGGCTTTGCCCTACAGAATGACCAGGGTGCATCTGGATCCCCAACATCCAACTCTCACTCCTGCAGTTCATCTCTCTCCCAGCAGCCGAGACTGGGTGAGGGACACCAATAATGAAGCCAGTCCAGGCCCTCACTTCCTACCAGCAGTGGAGGCCGCTGGCTGTGCGGCTCTGCACAAGGCCCAGAAAGGGTGGGATCTGGCTTCCACTGAGACCCAAACCCTTTCCAGCACCAAAACCGAGGCTGGTGTGCACCCAGAATGCTCCTGGAGGCACACAGCCCTCCACGCTTCTCACACCTCAGCAGTGGCCCTGACTCTGGTACTGAGGGGCAGCTTCTCTTCCAAAGCTGCATTTCCCCACATGAACCCTGCAGCTCCTTCCGTTTTAGCCTCTCTTCTGCTCATGTTCCACTAAAGACAGAACACATTCTAGACCTTGCTGCCCCTAGCCCTCGACACCAGGAGTCCAAGAACACACTACAAAGCTCAAAACGCCTTGCTCTTTTAAATCCTGTACCAAGAACCACAACAGAAGGCTTTTAAAGATAGAAAAGGATTTTTGTTCTGTTTTAGCTCAGATGTAAGTGAGAAGGCACAGCCCCCCTGTCCGCTCTCTCAAAAGCAGCCCAGTCACAGAGGAGTCACTGGCCCGTCTGCACAGGGTCCACCCCTCACAAGACAGGAGTAGCGTCAGGTCCCGTTTTCCACCTCTGCCCAGCCGAAGTCCTTTCCAACTTGGGT